AAAAAAAAAAAAAAAAAGTCCTGGCCTGGACCACTAGCATTTTCTTTAGCTTACCTAAGACCCTCCTTCTAAAGTTCCCTTTAGTTTCTGAGGATTTACATTATTCGAGGTAGTTTTATTGTTAGCGTCTGCTAAATAGCTGTAACAAATATACCCAAACACAATGTTATTCTCAAACACAATAAAAGTATATATTTATTTTTTATTTTTTTTAAAAGATGACCAGTAAGGGGATCTTAACCCTTGACTTGGTGTTGTCAGCACCACACTCTCCCAAGTGAGCTGCGGGCAGGCCCTTTATTTATCTATTTTATTAAAAAGAACTGTACTGTAAAGTTCTGGGGAAGGCAGTGCAGGTCCACAGGTGCTCTGATCAACAGAGACTCAGGCTGAGATGACTTTGCCATCTTCAACCCATGGCTTCTAAGGTCTATTCCAGCCCTCAAGAAGGGGATCACACCTGAAGGACCCCATGTGGGAGGTTTATGGGCCAGATCTGAAAGTGGCTTACGTGCCTTCTCTCGCATTCCAGACACTAGCCCTGCAGGAGGTGGGAGCAGTGGTTGGATTCTGTCTCTGCACTGAGGGTAAAGCTGGCAATGTTTGCTGATGGAGTTTTCTGTGAGAGAATGAGATGAGGCATCAAGAATTTTGCTTGGCTGAGCAACTGGAAGGATGGCGTTGCCATTTTCTGAGATGGAGAAGACTACAGAAGGAGTAGACTGGGGGGGTGGGGAGTCAGCAATTTGTTTTGGGGCCTGTTAAGTTTCAGATCATCTGGAGACATCAACTGGGAATGTTGGGTAGGCGGTTGGATATTTCAGCCTCCGTTTCAGGGGAACATTTTAGGCTGGAGATTCAAATTTGGGAGTCGTCATCATGAAGCAGGTATTTAAAGGCACGCCTGGTTGGGATCACCTAGAGAATGAGTAGAGACAGAGAAGAGAAGCGAAGAGGCGTGGGGATAGAGCCCTGGGCTGCTTTCGACGTAGAGCTCAGAGACGTGGGAGCCAGCAGCAGGGGCTGAGGAGAGCAGGCAGTGAGCGGGCAGGCAGGTGGAGAGAAGCCGGGTGAAGAAAGCCTTTCAAAGAGGTGGTGACCAGCTGCATCAAATAGAGTCTTGGGGCAAGGAAGATGAGGACTGAGAAGTGGCTGTTGCTTTTGCTAAAGAACTGTGTCAGTGACAGTGAGGAATAGCTTCCAGGCGTGGTAGTTAGCACACTTTTCCAACTCCTGTCCACCCGAAGGCTACCATACCCACTTCCATTGCTGACAGGCGTGTGTAAGTGTTTGTGTGTGAGCACGTGCATGTCGAGTATCAGAATTCCTTCACTCCAGCCACTGATGAGTCTGCTTTGTCTTCTGGGATCTGCCGCTCCCTGGGAAGATTCAACCTTGCATCTCTTTGGTTTCCAAGGCTGGTGCTAAAACCCAATGAAAGACAAAAGGAGAAAATATTTGAGAAATCAAAGTTCTGTAGTAGTGTCCCATGTCACTAACACAACTAGTACCTATGTACGTTAGGAGCCTTCCATGTGTCAGTGCTATGTTAAGCATTTTACATGCATTAGCTCTGATCTCACAGTCACCCATGAGCTGGATGTTATTATCCCAAGTTTATACATGGACAGTCTCATGGGAGAAGGGGCTGATCTGTTATGAGTGTGTTTCTGTCATATGGCTTCTGAAATTTCTGAAGTTTTCTACCTGAAATGTCATAGTCCTGCATGTTATTTTTGTTTCTGCAGAAAGGGCCAAATAAAACACCTGTAGCTGCCATCTGCCTAACCAGCTTGGTGACCATGGCCTTTGTCCTTGTGGGTCAGGTGAATGTTCTGGCCCCCATCGTCACCATCAACTTCATGCTGACCTACATCGCGGTGGACTACTCTTACTTCTCCCTGTGCATGTGTCCCTGCAGCCTCTGCCATGTGCCTGGGCCAGTGCTTAGGGAGGGCACGGACACTCCCCACTGCTCTCAGCACCTGCTGTTGGAGAAGGCTCCTGGCTATGGTTCCGAGAACGCTGCCCGAAGTTCCTCTGAGGGCACTCTGCTTGAATTCACCAAGGACATGGATCAGCTCCTCCAGCTCACCAGGAACCTTGAGAGTAGCCAGCCCAGGCAAGGAGAGGGTGATGGGATCCCAGAGAGTCCAAAGAGGAAATGCAAGAGGGCCTCCAAGCAAACCCTTCAAGATAGCTTCCTCTTGGACCTTAAGTCCCCTACTTCCTTCCCTTCTGAGAGCTCTGACAGGTTGTCCACTGCCTCCTGGGAAGGGCAGGAGTCCTACTGGAGCAAGCAGACTTCCAGGAGTGAAAGGACTCAGCCTGAGGGAATGTATGGAGAACAACTTGTCCCTGAGCTGTGTGACCAGCCTAGGCCAAATGGAGAAGGTGAGTGCTTTGGAATCACACTGGGGCCTCCTATTTTGGGGTGACCACTGGTTGCCTCACCTACCCAGTTATCACAGCCCAGTTATAGCTGGGTTTAAAGTCCTTGTTAATCATGCTTGGTATTTATTTTAAAATGTTATTTTCAGGAATCAGTTGAATTATTTACAATTCTAGTGTTGCAGACAGTTAATTTTAAACAAAAATTTGTATCTACTCCTGAATGTTAGAGCTGGGAGCTATGGCTAATAATTTAATATCAATTTCTTTTTGCTGAAAAATCAGCTGAGGTATGACACCAGTGTGAGTGAAACCAAATTCTCCTTTCAAGAGAAGTGGAAATGTGCTAACTGCCTGGCAAGGTCTCAGTGGGTTTTCCGTGTGGAAGATGAATCTCCCAAACCAGGCGAGAGGGGATGGAGAGAAGAAAGCTAAAGATGCACAGCTTTTCTTTGCTTTCTCAAATTTACAAACACAGAGACACAGAGAAATACCCTCAAAGAGAGGCTTATAAGGCATGAGAAATTCAGAGACAGAGAACTCATGATTTTTGAGGACCTACCGTATTCTAGATGCTTTCCATCTATTACTTCATGTAATATAATAGATGTTAGCATTCTCCGTTTTATGAGGACCCTGAGGCCCAGTGAGGTCACAGAGAAGACTCAGAACTGATTCTTTGCACAGCTGGCCGTCACCCGGCTCCGCCTGTATTTGAAGGCCGTATACTTTCCTCTGCATTACACTGCCCCTTGAGATCTGTACTCCTACTAACATGACAAAAACTAACCCCGATCTCAGTCATATTTCAAATATCGCCACTATTCGACCCAGACAGGTATAGGCAAAGAGGAGGAGCAGGGACATAGAAGGAGAGGTCTAGAAACAAGCACGTTACATTCTCCCATAAACCTGTTTTCTTTCTGTACCTCTGAGTTGGTGGAGGTTTTTAATGGTAGGAGCATTATTAAAATCTTAAAAATTATTTTATTTTTACCAAGTGATACGTGTACAGTTTAATAAGCCAAGTGGTACTAAAAGTTACATAACGAGAAGCAGTAGTTCCCACGCTTCCTACCACCCTTTTAGCCTTTTCAACCCCCAGTCCCACTCCGGGAAAATCCCGCCTCCAACCAAGAAGTTGCTTCTTCTGTTGACCTTCCTGTTACTAAACAATATAATTGCATTGATACTTCTCCATGTGTCAGTTTCAGACACCATCTTTTGACTTCCTGAATGGCGGTTGAACTCTCTTGCGCCACTCTGACTTCTCTGCATCTAATGTCCCTAACATAGGGATATCACAGTTTTTGATTAAATTAAGAGCTAGTATTCCTATTATTGTGACTAAGTAAATATGGCTTAATTGTGAGCCATATGTTATACTATGATTACATTAACTGTTTTGCCCAGCTTTTTCTGTTTCCTGGAGTTAAATAATTACCTTGGATTTTATTTGCTTGTTTTTCTGTCAATATTTTTCTCTGTATGCTCGGGCAGATATGTCAAATGCCTCTCAATGTTATCTTCCTAAATGTGCCAGTTCTTCAGGAATCTATTGCTTTTCCCCCTCTGTCCTGTGGCTCCCATCCCCCAGTTCACTCTAGTCTGTCCTGTTACAAAGCAGTTGTCTTAGAGTCCTCTCTTTACCACGCTTCCGCATCAGATCCAGGGAACAGGAGATTTCCTGGACACAATGTCATAGTAGACTTGTGTCTTTTTTCTTCTTCTTCTTCTTCTTGTGGCCTGCCCAGCACCAAATGACCTCCCCATGTTTGAAGAATTTCCAGTGTTATGAATCTTGGTGGGTGGCAAAGCAAGCCTTTCACACTCAGAACCGAATATGTCAGATCCTCAGTTTTCTGGTCTCTCCTGCAGCCAGAGTTCAGGCACAATACTAAGGCTCTGCCAATCAGACGAGCTCTCCTCATACTTGGCATTGGGAACTGGAAACCTGAAGAAAGGGGGACTTCGAGGAACTTTCTGGAAGCATGACAGTAATTGCAGGACGACTACACTACTGGCTCCAGGGTCCAGGGCTTCCTGGTCAGTGGGACAGGCTGCAGTGCCTAGACCTTGGTTCTTGCAGCAGCAGTGTCCCCACCAGACTGCCCTGACTTGGAATTTTGGGTGTTGCCCTGGCTGCAAGCATAGCCCCAACCCGATTCTTCAGCCTTTCTAGCTATTCTCAGAGGTCCAATATTCTTTTATTTTTATTGTGGTAAAAAACAAATTCCATATAATTACCATCTTAACCATTTTTAAGTGTGTAGTTTAGTGTTATTAAATATATTCATTATGTTAAGCAACCATCACCACCATCCATCTCCATAATTCTTTTCTTCTAGTAAAACGAAACTCTGTGCCCATTAAATGATAACTCCCTGTCTCCCCCTCCCCTAGCCCCTAGCAACCATCATTCTACTTTCTCTCTATGCTTTTTACTACTCTAAGTATTTCATGTAAGTGGAATCATATAGTATTTGTCTTTTTGTGACTGGTTTGTTTCATTTAGCATAATGTCCTCAAGGTTCACCATGTTGTAGCATATG